CAGGTTGCCCATTGCCGGGTTGGGGGTGCCGGGGTGAAGTGGCCCGGTGGATTTCAGCAGAGTCATGCTTCGTGGGTGAAGGGCACCGGAAGAGGGCGGTCCTGAAGGCTCTGCCCTCTTGCCGCATAGCCAGTTGGCACCTGGAGATGATGGCGGCTCAGCCCTCATGGAGGACTCAAGCCGTGATTTCAAGGACATTTGTTCTATTACCAGGTGGCACGTGGTATCTTCTCTCTGGGTGGATGTGTCACCACAGCTCAAGACAATAGCCTCCTCACTAGCTTCCATGCCTCTTGGGCATCTCCTTTCTGTCCAAGGGGCCAGCTCTCAGCATGCCACTCTCCTGCTCAGAAGCCTTCAGTGGCTTTCTAGTGCTCTGTGAAATCGAGTCAGACTGCTTATTCGAGACCCTTCATGATCTGGCTCCTGGCCAGTGTTTGCCCTCGTCTGCTGCCAATTCTCTCCTGTCCTTGTGATCTGGCTGGTTTCTGCTTCGAGGCTGAGCCTTGGGCTCTCTCGGCCCTGCCCAGGCCTCAGCCTGCAAGGCCCTTTCTCCCTTTCCTCCTTATTCCCAATCTTCAAGGCCAGCTTGAAGCAACCTACTTCTCGAAGCTTTCCTTGAGCCCCTTAATAGTGCCTACCTAGCACATGGTAAGCACTCAGAAAGATTATGAGTCAAAGTAGACATAACCTCACCCTGCTCTTGAGCCCCTGTAGGGTGGAGTTCAGGCCTCTGTGGTCTGGCCTCTAATCCATCCACCTGACTGTGGGCACGTGAGGGAGGGGATTGCTCCGGCATAGGGCCTGGTGCGCAGTAGTTACTCAGTACGCACACACAAACTTTCTGATTCCCTCTCCCCTGAAATGAGAGCCCGTAGTTTGAACATCTGAGTGGGTCCAGGCTTGGAAATTAAATTCACCCATCACCATCCACCCATCTAACAATTATATTTATTCTAGGCACTGGGGATGTGGCAGGTGACCAAAGCAGATTAAATCATGGCCTCTTGAAGCTGAGCACAAAATAATTTAATGAATTGTCTAGGGCCACTGAGGGTCTAGGGCCACTGAGACATCAGGGTTTGGGTGCCCTTGGACACTGGCTTGTTGTGTGACCTGGCTGAGTCCTTTTCCCTTCTCTGGTCCTCAGTCCTAACCCGTAAGGAAACTGTGTTTGGGGGAGATACCTGCTGAGTAAAAAGGGGAAGGGCCCTTCCTTTTCTGTTAGGGAGCGCACGTCATCACCGCGTGGGGTGCTGCTCCCATGGGCCCCCTTTAAGGATGTGATTGTCTTCTGTTGGTTTTCAAGATGTCTTAGCCCTCCTCTGAAAGGAACCTCCTGATTTGGGGCCTGGAGTTCTGAGATGCTCCGAGCAGAGCTGTGGCAATGGTCTTCTAGTAAAAAACATTTCCTGGAGGAGCAAGGAGGGGTTTTCCCCCCTACCATTGGTGGAAGAGCAGCAGATTAGAATAGACCTTAAAAAAAAGAAAGAAAGAAAAAGAAATTCTCCTCAAACCTGGCAGCCTCTCTTCACCGGTACTGAGCAGAATCTGTTTCTGTCTTCCACGTCTCACCAGTGGAAGGTGTGGGTTGTTTTAAAAGGATCACATCCCAGGCATGAAAAAAAAACCCAGTACCAGTCACACAAAATGGTCTTCCTGGGGCCGCTCTGGACCACAGGTGTGTTTTGTGTTGTCCACACAGTGTTTTATAAATTTGAGCCATATTTATCAACGTGGGATGTTTTTGCATCTGCATCTGGTCATCTGGTTTCTCTGACCACAGCACTGTCCCACCCAGCAGCCCTGCCCCTCTAGTGTGCCCCCGGCTCCTGCCCTGGAGGTAACAGTGTGTTGCTGGTAGATCCCAGGCAATGGAAGCATTCCTGCCCTGTATAGTGGAGGTGATCCAGGAGCTTCAGCTCGGTAGCCTTTATGTTCACAGCACTGGAGTGGGGACCGTTAGTGCGTCCACAGGGTCAGTTCCAGGCCGGAGCTGGGGAAATCGGGGCGGTCCCCACACTGCTCCATGTGGGGCTTGCAGCCCCCACCCCCACCCCACACCAGGCCAGGGCAGCCCCTCTGCCAACCTCTGCTGTGAGTTCCGGGTGGCGCACTCCAGGCACAGGGTAATTTAATCTTCCTCCTTAAATGCAAAAGGTTCAGCCTTCTGTGGAGAGGAACAGAGGGAGCCAAACTCTGCTGGAAGCCCCAAATCTGAGACCTGGAATGTTTTCAGTAGATTTTGTTACCTGTCTGAGTCCTGTGATCAGTACCTACTCACTAAGTCTCATTGAAGGACACACCCCACCTATGTTTCTTCCCATCTCCTGAGCCATCAAGGGACTCCGGGAGGTGGGGAGACACCAGAGAATTTTTCTTCCTTCTCAACATTTCATTACCTCTGACCCCTGTCTGCTGTCCCCCAGGCCTGAAAGTTGGTGTACATCTTGGCTAGGTCTTGGGGTGCTTAACTACAGTAAGAATAACATATACCTCACCTGGGATCTTGTTAAAATGCCCCTTTCCATGCAGGAGGACTAAGGTAGGGCCTGAGATTCTGCATTTCTACCCAGCTGCCAGGTGATGCCAGTGCTGCCGGTCTGGGGACCACTCCGAGTAAAAAAGATAAGTCACAGCTGTGAGGCACTTGCTGCACTTTGTAGGCCAGGCCCAGGGCCTTGTAAGCATCATCTCCCTAATCACCCCAAAAGATACCATTATTTCCAGTTTGCGCATGAAAAGCTGAGGCCCCAGAGATGGCAGGTAACTTGCCCAAGGTCACACAGCTGGGAAGCGGCTGAGCCAGGCCAGACCCTCTGGGCCAGTGCCACCTTGGAAAGGATGCTGGTAGGGAAGCCCTTTTCTACTGAACAAGCATCCCTGGTCCAAAAGCCACAGGAGGCCTTTCAAGGCAGCCAAGTCGGATGTAAATCAGGGAGAGCCCAGGGTCCGCCAGGCTGTGCTGACAGCAGGGCTGCTGAGGCAGTGTGTCAGGCCCAGGCCCGCAGTAGGATTTGGTGCTGGCGTGCTGCCTGGTGTGGAGAGCTGTTGGGGGATGCTCACAGCTCCTGGAAGACCAGTGTGAGCCTGTTGGAGCCCAAGGAGACTCCATGTCACTTTATAGCCTCCCCAATATTTAGACAAATCTCAGGGTGGAGGGCTGGCTGGAGGGGTGGGCAGTGGGACCGGTATAAGCTGGGACCTGGTGCTTTAGTTGTTTAAAGATTGGCTCATCCTTGAGCCACACAGCCACTTTCCTTAATAGGGGGTCTGCTTTGAGGACCAAGTGGCTGTGGCCTCCCCCTGGCTGGAGCTTTATTTTGCACTGGACACTTGCCCCAAGCAACTGGGAAGAGTAGATCAGATTTAAGGTCTGGGTCCTGGACATGCGGTCTGGGCATCACCTGGGTGGGAGCTTGTTAGAGTGCTGACTCAGACCCCGGGGTGGACCCAGCTGTTGGTTTTAACAAGTCCTCCAGGCTTAACTTTGAGAAGGGCTGATTTCTCTGGCATGGGAGGGGTGCGTCAGTCCTAACCTTTGCAATAGACTCCTAGTAGAGTACCAGGGCTGCAGGGGGACCTCAGATGTCATTTCATCTGTGTCCCACTTTCCTGATGGCCTCAGTGTCAGAGTAGGGGACATATGTACAATTATATAGCACGTTCCAAGCCGGGCATAGTTCTGGATTCTTAGGGTTGTAAGCAGCCGAAATCAGTTCAAACAAACTTAAAAACAAACAAACAAAAACCAACTAGCTGAAAAGCCCCAGGGTCATACTTCAGTCATAATTGGATTCAGGTGCTGTGAGCTGCCATTGGGACTCTAGAAAACAAATGCTCCATGGCATCTTTGTCACGTGCTGGCCTTTACCATGGCGTTCTAGGCTCCATGAGAGTGGCGACCTCAGCTGTCTTGTTCACTGCTGTGTTCTCAGTGCCTGGAACATAGTAGGTGCTCAAATTATTAACTGAATGTTCCTACGCCGTAGTACCTCGGACATGGTGGGCCACTAATGTGAATCTGTTGAATGCAGGGGTCCTAACATAGCAATGAGGTTGTCTACTTTGGGCTCTCTCGGCTGGTGGGGCCATTTCTGAGTCTGAGGAAGAGGCTCCGAGGGCAGGGCTGCAGACACAATGAGTAATGAGAAGCGCCCATCCTGGACGGCTCTCTCTGCCCTTCCTCTTCTCCGCTGATCCATTTAACTGTTATCGAAATGTAAGATCTTACATTTATTGAGGAACCATTTCCTGGTTTTCTGCATTTTTATATTCCAGGAAACCAGGAGAGCCTTCCAGCACAGCTCTGCTGGTAGAATAAGAGGCAGACGTGATCTTCCCCAACTTGCAGTATTTCCCAGACAGAGTTCCAAAGAACAGGAGGTGTTCTATTTTAAAAAAGAAAGAAAAGGCTTCTGGGGACTGCTTGGCTCAGCAAAGTTCAGTGGACTTTCTTGGCACCTGATTCTCAGAGCCTCTGAACAGTTGATGAATTCTCCAAGAATTTGGGGTCCCAGGGCCTCCCACAGCCCATCTGTCTAGCCTTGGCATGTCCTCTGGCTTGCAGGGAACTCTCGGTCACAGACCTGGGCTCATGACTGAGCTGGTGAGGGGCTCGCAGGAGTGCAGATTTTTGGGTCGAGGCTGAGGGGTTGCTTGCCCAAGTTCTCAGCCAGCAAGAAGAGCCTTCCCCTCCCAAGTGTGGGCTGGGCCACCTGCTCCTCCCAGCACAGGCTGCTGTCTGACAGTTTAGAAACACCACATCCAGGAGAGAGGTGTGTGAGCGAGTGTGTCTGCGTGGATATGTGTCTGTGTGAGCATGTGAATGTGTGCGCAAGTGCCTGAGCACCCCAGTTTTCCCATCCCCACGGCGTGTTGGGGGGGTTGCTCCCAGTGTGCGTGAGTTGGGTGGTCACACCTGGAAGAAGACTCCAAGTCCTGTGTACAGTCACAACCTGACCAGATCCTCTTTCCTTTGCTTCCTCTCGTTGCAATAGGTCCAGAACAACAGCCCTTCCTGAGGAGCCTCCAAACGTAAGTGCCATTGACCTCCCCGTGACTGGGTCTCACCGATGCAGCAGTGACCCGAGGTGGGGTGCTCAGGAGTTTGGTGTCTCCTGCAGGCTCTAAGAGGAGACAGAACCCAGGCCCCAGGACCTTATCCACACGTCACCCCTGGGTGGCGAGTACATGGCCCGGGTTGGCCACCTGTACCTGCCTATACCAGGAAGGCATCCCTGCAAATGGCCCAAGTACTGATTTTGGCGTCCCAGCCTCCCTCTCCTCCTGGCTTTGCCGGCCGAGCAGTGATGGGGGCCTCACTGAGTTGATTTTGAGGATTGGGGTCAGATGCATGTGAAAGGGTGAGCTGCTTGGCTTCCAGCAGACAGGATGTTCCAGGATTTGGGGCTGCTATTCCAATGGTCTCTTCATTAAACTTTTTATTTTTTAAAAATTGAAAAGCTTCAGAAAAGTTGTAAGAATATTATAGTAAACATCCACATACCCTTCACTTTGATTTTCCCATTATTAACGTGCTACATTTGCTTCATCTCTTTCTCTCTATAGTCATGTTAATATTGTTCTTTTTTTTTTTTGCTGAATCCCTGGGGGCTTTGCAGGCATGATGCCCCTTTACCCCTAACCCTTCAGCATGTATTTCGCAAGAGAGAGGCCATTCATTCTTTTATGTAAGCACACAGAATTATGAACCCCAGGACATTTAACATTGACACAATTCTGTTATCTAATCTCCAGACCTTAATGACATTTTGCTGATTGTCTCCTGATATTTACAGAAGCTTTCCCCCCCTTAGTTCAGGATCACCAGCCTTTTTAAAAGGGGTTTAATGGGGCAGGAACCTGACTCAGTCACTGCTGCACATGTCTTCTTCACCTTGATTTAAAACATCCTTATTGGAGAGGCTTTCAAAGTCTTTTTGTTGTGATAGTAAGAAATACATTTAAAAAAAATTTTTTTTATTGGGGAACAGCCATGGTCATTGGTTACACACTGCTTTCATGCTACAATGGCATAGCTGACTCTTTTAAGGAGGGTGCAACTCATAGTGGCCCATGCGGGTATCGAACCGGCAACATTGGTGTTATCAGCACCACACTCTAACCAACTGAGCTAATAGGTCACCCCAAGAAATACATTTTTTGACAGGATGCCTCATGTGCTCATACATGTATATGCGCATGAAGTTCAAATCAGTTTTAACAATTGTCACTGGAGTCCTCACTGTCTATGGGGCTTTTATGTTCTCTTCCGGTCTCTTGTATAAAAATGATAGCCCTGACCCTCTAAGTTGATTTCATGACCCAGTAGTAGATTCTGCTCTGGAATTGGAAAACTCTGGCTTCCGAGGCAGGAATTTCTCCCTGGGGAGAAGGTAGTGGCCCTGGCCAAGCTCCCACTAGTCCAGGGATGGGATTTGGTTGATTTGGGGTTACCTAGGAAGCCAGGACTAGGAGAAAAGGCCTAAAGACCCTTGGCCTGCTCAGACGCTTGACCCCATGGAGAACTGTTCTCCATGTTGTGACATCAGATGTGGAAAATCAGGCAGGTCTATCTCTGGTGGCCCAGGACTCCTCCTTGCCTACCTGCTGAGTGGCCATGGAGATGCTTCACTCCATGTCACCTCCAGAGTCATCACCATAAATATCATAAATGTCAATAAGAATACTCAATAACACTTAAGCCTTTAACAGCATGCTCGTATGTTGCCGAGAGGTTAAAGGTATACTAGCGCATTTTATCCTACAATACTGCTATGACTAGGGTTTTGTTCTTTTTGTGAAAATGATCGATACATTTATTGAGCCCTTACCCTGGATCAGGCATTGCTATGCACTTTATAGACTCATGCAGTCCTCACAGTAGCCCTGTGAGGTCGGCACAGATATTATCTGCCTCATAGAGTTAGTGAGGCTACAGACTCCACACACCCCCCCAGGTCACATAGCGAGGAAGGATTTGAATTCCAGTTGATCTGACCCTAATGCTCACATCATCCCGCACTGCCTTCCCCTCACCCTCCCCCAGGCTGGGAGCAGACTCCACATCCAGCCTCTTCCTGAGGGCCAGTCCTGGTTAATGAGTAGCCCAGGGCAGCTGGAAGCCAGGTGTCTGCTGTTGAGAAGCTGGAATGTGAGTTCTGCTTCCAGATAAAGAGAGTATTGTGCTAGGGGCCTGGCCCCCTACCCGGGCTGATGACTTTTTTAGGGAGTCAACAGATAGAAACCAGCCACTATTCCTCTCTTCCAAAGTTTGCTGATCCATCCACACTGGGTGGGAGCCCGTTTTATATGAGAGGCAGTTGATGCTGAGAGGTGGGTGTGCTCTCAGGACTGTCTGACACCTCCTCCAAGCAGCCCTCCTGGTTTATTTTATCTGAAAGGGCTCCCTGGCCCCCTGACATGGCAACAAGATTTGGAAGGGGGTGTCTTTAGAGAACAGAAGCTGTCATCCCGGAAGTCTGAGCACTACCGGTTGCAGCCCTCCTCATGGAGATCTCCAGGTTCCCATCTGAGAAAGGAGATGATAATCACTCCCCAGCCCCTCTCAGGGATGTGCACAGCTTGGGGGAGATGACTGACTTGTGGATGTTTGTCGGTTGTTCAGCAGACTCTGTGTTATTAATAAACCAACCAAAAGTATTATTTCTGAAGGGACAACCCATGTAGTAGAAATACCATGGAGCTGGAGAGGCAGACAGTTCCGGGTTCAAATCCTGGCGCCACCCTGTGCCAGCTGTGTGACCTTGGGAGGAGAGTTGAGTCACTGAATCTCTGAACTTTAGCTTCCCCACCTCTAACATGGAACAGTGACAGCACCCAGGAAGACTGGAAAGACAGCGAGTTGTGGGATAAGGGGTAACGGCCACTTTGTCATCACAGTAGA